CTGCAGGTCATTCACTAGGTCCCCTCGTGTGGTTCTGGGATTTTGTGATCATTTTGACCCCACTGGGTGAGATCTTGCGTGGAGCCCCAGATCGAGGGAGATTATCAGTGGTCTTGTATGTCTTCCATTTCCTAATAATTGCTCCCACCGTTGATTTCTTCAAACCAAGCTGCTTACCTATTGCAGATTGTCTTCCCAGCCTGGTGCAGGTCTACAATTTTGTTTCTGGTGTCCTTTGACAGCTCTTTGGTCTTGGCCATAGTGGAGTTTGGAGTGTGACTGTTTGAGGTTCTGGACAGGTGTCTTTTATACTGATAACAAGTTCAAACAGGTGCCATTAATACAGGTAACCAGTGGAGGACAGAGGAGCCTCTTAAAGAAGAAGTTACAGGTCTGTGAGAGCCAGAAATCTTGCTTGTTTGTAGGTGACCAAATACTTATTTTCCACCATAATTTGCAAATAAATTCATAAAAAATCCTACAATGTGATTTTCTGGATTTTTTCCCCTAATTTTGTCTGTCATAGTTGACGTGTACCTATGATGAAAATTACAGGCCTCTCATCTTTTTAAGTGGGAGAACTTACACAATTGGTGGCTGACTAAATACTTTTTCCCCCCCACTGTACTTGTTGGATGTGCGTTGGTGTCTAAATATCTACTTCTGAACGCCAATATTTGCGGCGCACCTGGGAAAAACAAAGCAATGAGCGCTCTAAACAGCTGACTGACAAAAGCAAACAATGATAAATCAACAGATAAATCGAATGCATTGGAATAAAGGCTCTTATTTTTAATTTTTTTATTAAGGACACATGGCAAACAAATGGAGAAAATTAAGAAGTAGAAATGAAAATCGGAGTTTTAAAGGAGCTCAGCACTACTAAGTGGACAGTGATGTTGTCTAGCCAGCGATAGAATTCTACAGTACCATTCATGGACAGGGAGACTTTGTGCAGCCACGTACAGTACCAGTCAAAAGTTTGGACACCTACTCATTCAAGGATTTCTTTATTTTTTACTATTTTCTACATTGTAGAATAATAGTGAAGACAAACTTTGAAATAACACATATGGAATCATGTCGTAACCACACAAAAAAGTGTTAAACAAATCAAAATATTTTATATTTGAGATTCTTCAAAGTAGCCGCCCTTTGCCTTGATGACAGCTTTGCACACTCTTGGTACTCTCTCAACTACCTTCACCTGGAATGCTTTTCCAACAGTCTTGAAGGCGTTCCCACATATGCTGAGCACTTGTTGGCTGCTTTTCCTTCACTCTGCGGTCCAACCATTCACCTACTCTGTGTCTCACAAAGACATGGCGGTTGGAAGCAAAAATCTCAAATTTGGACTCATCAGACCAAAGGACAGATTTCCACTGGTCTAATGTCCATTGTGCGTGTTTCTTGGCCCAAGCAAGTCTCTTCTTCTTTTTGGTGTCCTTTTTAGTAGTGGTTTCTTTGCAGCAATTCGACCATGAACAGTCTCCTCTGAACAGTTGATGTTGAGATGTCTGCTACTTGAACTCTGTGAAGCATTTATTTGGGCTGCAATCTAAAGTGCAGTTAACTCTAATGAACTTATCGTCTGCAGCAGAGGTAACTCTGGGTCTTCCTTTCCTGTGGCGGTCCTCATGAGAGCCAGTTTCATCGTTGCGCTTGATGGTTTTTGCAATTGCACTTGATTTAAAATTTCAAAGTTCTTAATTTTCCAGATTGACTGACATTCATGTCTTCAAGTAATGATGGACTGTCGTTTCTCTTTGCTTATTTGAGCTGTTCTTGCCCTAATATGGACTATATGGTAAAATACCATCTTCCGTATACCACCCCTACCATGTCACAACAACTGATTGGCTCAAACGCATTAAGGAAAGAAATTCCACAAATTAACAAGGCACTACTGTTAATTGAAATGCATTCCAGGTGACTACATCATGAAGCTGGTTGAGAGAATGCCAATAGTGTTTTTAAAGCTGTCATCAAGGCAAAGGGTGGCTATTTGAAGAATACAATATTTTGATTTGTTTAACACTTTTTGGGTTACATGATTCCATGTGTTATTTCATATTTTGATGTCTTCACCATTATTCTACAATGTAGAAAAGTCCAAATAAAGAAAAACCCTTGAATCAGTAGGTGTGTCCAAACTTTTGACTGGTACTGTAGATATAAATGGTTTAAACCATGATGTTTGTTTCATTTGGAAGATTTTTTTTCTCTTCATATTTACAACAAACATATTTACCACTGCATTTTAAACAAATAGGAGAATGGTTAAATTAGCATTATTTATAGCCCCCTCCAAAGTTTGACTTTTGTTGCGTCCTGTATCCCCTAAAGCTCATTATGCCCCGTGTAGCTCAGTTGGTAGAGCATGGCGCTTGCAACACCAGGGTTGTGTAAGTCGCTCTGGATAAGAGCGTCTGCTAAATGACTAAAATGTAATGTACCGTATTGGTCCGAATATAAGACGGCCTTTTTTCCCCTCGAAATAGGTCCAAAAAAGTCGGGTCGTCTTATATTCGGGGTCTAGTATTCAGAGCGCAGTTTCTCTTCTTCGGCGCTCCCTTTAAATGTCAATACACATTCGCGGGCACAGATGGCGCCAAAAATTCGTTCCGGACGGAGGGAAGAGGCGTCCTTAACAACCAGCCCGTTACCGGTGTTTAAAGATGGAAAGACAGGCTGACCATTTAGAGACAAGTGGCTCAAAAGTGGGCCAGGTCAATAAACAACAGCGGAGGAGCTATGATGCCAATTTCAAAATAATGGTTGTCAATAAGGCAGAGTCATCTAACAACTGCCAAGCTGCCAAGACATTCGGGGTCACTGAGTGTAATGTAAGAAGATGGCGAGCAGAAAAACAACGTCTAAAAGATGCTAACAGTCAGCGAAAATCCTTCCGTGGTCCTCAAAGTGGTCGTTTCATTGAGGTTGACCGGAGGGTTTTTGAATATGTCAGGGAAAAAAGAAGTGAGGGAATGCCCATTACCAGAGCTGTCATCCAGGTTAAGGCCCTGGAAATCGCCAGAGAGCTCAACATCACTGGATTTAAAGCCAGCCTCGGCTGGTGTCGTAGGATGATGCGGCGTAATGGACTGTCACTTAGACGGAGAACGAGTTTGGCCCAACGCCTGCCGTCAGACTTCGGAGAGAAGCTGCTTTCGTTTCAGCGCTTTGTTATCAACCTGAGGAAGAAGCACTCCTACCCGCTGGATCAGATCGGCAATGCTGATCAGACACCCGTTTATTTCGACATGCAAACATCGTGACGGTCAATAGAAAGGGAGATGTTGCTTTATTATTGCTTGAATATTAATTTTGAATCAATACGGTACATAGTTTGCCTTTGTGTTTAATTCACTGTGTTTTTAAAATTGTTATTTTAAAATAAAATGAAGGGTTCCGTTGTTCGGCAAATCTGAGTCTGCAATCGGTTTTTTCGAAATGTTTTGTGTTGAAAAACGGGGGGGTCGTCCTTATAATCAAGGGTCGTCTGTAATATTTCGTACCAATACGGTAAATGTTGCATTTAGGGGAGCTAATGTCTCATTCAGGGGAGCTGAGCCCCCCCGGCTCCCCTGTAATTCGCACCCTGCTAACGTTAGCTAGCTCAGCCTTAACTTTTGTTGTGTGAAAATGTGCAGCACAACTGCCCTGTAGGTAGGCGATAGCCCAATAATGGACTAAAGGAGCCTAACATTACACCTTTTTATAGTCCAAGGACCTTACCATGTTCTGTTTTAGAGGCCAATTGGTTCTGGCAGCCAAAACAACCAAATACTCCCATCTAAACGTGAATCGATTCTCAATTGCGGTACGGTTCTAGAAACAAAGCCCTCTACTTTCATATCACATCAAAATAACTCCAATGCTAAATATACACTTACTGTTAACACCAGTTTTTAACCAGTTGCAGCCAACAGTATTTTTCAGTGACGACGCGTTTGTGGCATCAGCCTTCCGTTTACACACAGGTGTTCGGCGACGCAGATTAGCCAAATTAGCACAGGTACGTGTCTGTTTTCTGTAAACAAGCGCTGTGACATGGAAATATGGCCGTGTGGGAACCCTGACCCTATAAAAGGAGTGTAGTTAGTTATTTAACCTTTTTTTAAATTTATTATTTCTCGCTTATCTAAAAGAAACGCTCCTTATGTTTTCCTAAAACCTTACCGCAAGTAATGTGGTCCTCTGTAGCTCAATTGGTAGAGCATGGCGCTTGTAACGCCAGGGTAGTGGGTTCGATCCCCGGGACCACCCATACGTAAACATGTATGCACACATGACTAAGTCGCTTTGGATAAAAGCGCCTGCTAAATGGCATATTATTATTATTATTATTATATTATAATGCGTTTCAACATTTATAACGTATAACGAGCGCCGGGGCTCTTAACAGAACTCCCCCGGCCAGAAGTTTCTATCGTCAATATGGGCTAAAATGTTTGGCACAGAGGTAAAGTTAGTTTTATATTGGATATTCGGTTTTGTCTCGTCAATAGCTATAAAATTGTATATTCTGAATCAGGGGAAGGTGGAGAACACATAAAAAATAAATTGTTCTCCACCCTCCCTGATTCAAAATATACAATTTTAATTGTCATGGCATGCTTGGTTCAATAGCTATGGATGAGAGAAAATGATATCCAATATAAAACTAATTTTACAGAGGTACAGAGGCTCTCTAAAATGTTGGGTAAACAATACTTTCCTATGGTTAGGTAGGCCTTTACCACAAACCGTATCGGTAAACCAACTTATTGATGCTTTTAATGTCATTTCTGATTTCAAATCACTAACCTTATTGCTGTCCTAATAATTGTATGGAGTCATTGAGAATAATTCTCTTAGGATAGATTTGTCTTTCATTGAGGCAATTTACAAATATTTTTTATAAGTAACCATGTCAAATGTCTTTTACAGTGCGGTGCCCCTGAAGATCACAGGTCCATCGGAGAATGGCAATGAACCAGGTTGAAAGAATAGAAGGAATGGAGGTGGAAGAAGAGTCAACCAATTCTGAAGAAGTGCAGGTGGATGCTGCTGGCAGTGAAGAGGAGTCAGATAATGCCTTGTCCAATGGGAACCTCACAACACCTAAAAGGGGAACGGGTAGGCCGTCCAAAAATGGATCAGTCTCCAAGTCCCATAAATCCTTGTCTAATGGTAACCCCTCAACACCTAAGAGAGGTAGGCCTAAAGGATCTGTTTCAAAGTTAGGTGCTAGCCCCATGACACCTAAGAGAGGTAGGCCTGAAGGATCCGTGTTTACGAAAATCAAGGTGATAGGCAAGCTGCCGCGAGGCCGACCCCGAAAACCAGGAAGGCCTCGTATCTATCCACGCGATGATCCTCCAGTCACTGCGCCTAGGGAAAGAGGTCGCCCACGCAAGACTGAGGATGCCACCAAGCCCCCCATCTATGATGTTCCCCCACGGAAAAGGGGCCGTCCCCCTAGTGCAGCAAACAAGGTTAAGGGGGAGGCAGAGCAGGATAAGGCCAACAGTGAACCTCCAGTCAAATGCTCCTTCCACTCCAATGAAAGAAGCGAGGAAGTAGGATTTCCACCAGTAGAAGAAAGTGATCAGGAAGATGAAACTGGGAGGGTGGATGAAGAAAGTGAAAAGTGGAAGGTGGAAGAATATAGAGAAGACCCCAAGAAGCCAGTTACCCCCAGTGACCGCACTAGCTTTCTCTGTGCTAGCCCCATAACACCTAAGAGAGGTAGGCCTAAAGGATCAGTCTCCAAGTTAGGTGCAAGCCCCATAACACCTAAGAGAGGTAGGCCTAAAGGATCCGTTTCCAAGTTAGGTGCAAGCCCCATAACACCTAAGAGAGGTAGGCCTGAAGGATCCGTTTCCAAGTTAGGTGCAAGCCCCATAACACCTAAGAGAGGTAGGCCTGAAGGATCCGTTTCCAAGTTAGGTGCAAGCCCCATAACACCTAAGAGAGGTAGGCCTAAAGGATCAGTTTCCAAGTTAGGTGCTAGCCCCATGACACCTAAGAGAGGTAGGCCTAAAGGATCAGTTTCCAAGTTGGGTTTTAGCCCCATAACACTGAAGAGGGGTAGGCCTAAAGGATCAGTGTTTACGCAACCCAAGATGCTGAAGGTGATGGGCAAGCTGTCGCGAGGCCGACCCCGAGAAATGGTTGACCCTTCCTCTAAGTGTCGCCGGCCCAGTAAAGTTGAATTGAAAAGGGGTAGGCCAAAGAAGATCCTAACACCAGATGAAGAAGAGCTAAAGAAACTGGAAAACCAACCAAGAAGGCCAAGCGGAAGGCCGCGTATCTATCTCTGCGATGATCCTCCAGTCACTGAGCCTAGGGGAAGAGGCCGCCCACGCAAGACTGAGGATGCCACCAAGCCCCCCGTCTATGATGTTACCCCACGGAAAAGGGGCCGTCCCCCTAGTGCAGCAAACAAGGTTAAGGGGGAGGCAGAGCAGGATAAGGCCAACAGTGAACCTCCAGTCAAACGCTCCTTCCACTCCAAAGAAAGAAGCAAGGAAGTAGGATTTCCACCAGTAGAAGAAAGTGATCAGGAAGATGAAACTGGGAAGGTGGAAGAATATAGAGAAGACCCCAAGAAGCCAGTTACCCCCAGTGACCGCACTAGCTTTCTCTGTGCTAGCCCCATAACACCTAAGAGAGGTAGGCCTAAAGGATCCGTTTCCAAGTTAGGTGCAAGCCCCATAACACCTAAGAGAGGTAGGCCTAAAGGATCCGTTTCCAAGTTAGGTGCAAGCCCCATAACACCTAAGAGAGGTAGGCCTAAAGGATCAGTTTCCAAGTTAGGTGCTAGCCCCATGACACCTAAGAGAGGTAGGCCTAAAGGATCAGTTTCCAAGTTGGGTTTTAGCCCCATAACACCTAAGAGAGGTAGGCCTAAAGGATCAGTTTCCAAGTTGGGTTTTAGCCCCATAACACCTAAGAGAGGTAGGCCTAAAGGATCAGTTTCCAAGTTGGGTTTTAGCCCCATAACACCTAAGAGAGGTAGGCCTAAAGGATCAGTTTCCAAGTTGGGTTTTAGCCCCATAACACCTAAGAGAGGTAGGCCTAAAGGATCCGTTTCCAAGTTAGGTGCAAGCCCCATAACACCTAAGAGAGGTAGGCCTAAAGGATCCGTTTCCAAGTTAGGTGCAAGCCCCATAACACCTAAGAGAGGTAGGCCTAAAGGATCAGTTTCCAAGTTAGGTGCAAGCCCCATAACACCTAAGAGAGGTAGGCCTAAAGGATCAGTTTCCAAGTTAGGTGCAAGCCCCATAACACCTAAGAGAGGTAGGCCTGAAGGATCCGTTTCCAAGTTAGGTGCTAGCCCCATGACACCTAAGAGAGGTAGGCCTAAAGGATCAGTGTTTACGCAACCCAAGATGATTGGCAAGCCGCTGCATAGCCAACAGCGAAAACCAGTTGACCCCTCCCCTAATAAGCGTGGCCGGCCCAGTAAAGTTGAATCGAAAAGGGGTAGGCCAAAGAAGAGCCTAACACCCAAGCTGGAAGAGAATAGAAAAAAAGAAGAAAGCCAACCAAGGCGGCCCCTCGGAAGGCCGCGTATCCATCTCTGCGATGATCCTCCAGTCACTGAGCCTAGGGAAAGAGGCAGCCCACACAAGACGGAGGATGCCACCAAGCCCCCCGTCTATGATGGTCCCCCTAGTGCAGCAGACAAGGTTGAGGGGGAGGCAGAGCAGGATAAGGCCAACGGTGAACCTCCAGAGGAAGCAGGATTTCCACCAGTGGAAGAAAGTGATCAGGAAGATGAAACTGGGAGGGAGGATGAGATGAGGAAATTGAAACTGGGGGAAAATATACAGAAGTCACCATTAAGCCAGTTACCCCCAGTGACTGCAATAGCTTTATCTGGGCCATAAACAGGATGGCGTTTGGCAACAGCCTAGCCAGCGACAGTAGCCCTTCATAGTTCCACTAGTTTGTAGAAATGTGTGTTCCGGTAAAGCCTGATTGTTTTGTATGGCCACCCTCATCTGATCGTGCAGTTTCCTATTGGGGTGATAACTCATGAACATACACATAAGCAAAATATAAATGCAGCATGTAAAAAGTGTTGGTCCCGTGTTTCATGAGCTGAAATAAAAGATCTCAGAAAATGTACATATGCACAAAAAGCGTATTTCTCTCATATTGTGCAAATTGGTTTACATCCCTGTTTAGTGAGCATTGCTCCTTTGCTAAGATAAATCCATCCACCTGACAGGTGTGGCATATCAAGAAGCTGATTAAACAGCATGATCATTACACAGGTACACCTTGTGCTGGGGACAATAAAAGGCCACTCTAAAATGTGCAGTTTTGTCACAAGTTGTCTCAAGTTTTGAAGGAGTGTGCAATTGGCATGTTGACTACAGGAATGTTCACCAGAGCTGTTGCCAGAGAATTCAATGTTTATATCTCTACCATAAGCCACCTCCAATGTCATTTTAGAGAATTTAGCAGTAGGTCCAACCGGCCTCACAACCGCAGACCTCCTGTAACCACGCCAACCAAGGACCTCCACATCCGGCTTCTTCGCCTGTCTAAAACCAGCCACCTGGACAACTCATGTTGCGTTTATATTTTTGTTATTATTGCATTCTTCACCTTTTATGTGGTTAAAACGGTTATTGTTATCTGGACTGTGCAACTTTCAATTCAATCCAACATCCCTAAAATGTATCCATTAAGACGTACATATATTCACTTCTGTGAGGATTTTGCTCACCAATATCATCCTTGAGGTTTTCTTATAAACGTTACTCAGATCTTTAGGATTTAGACTACTGTACTTTGTTGGCTGTCAGTCCTGATCACTACTTTTTGATAGAACCTGGTCCCGGTTTCTCAAAAGCATCTTATGGCCAAGTTCATCGTTAGAACCATAGGATCCTATGGTTCTAATGAACTTAGCCTTAAAATGCTTTTGGAAAACCGGGCACAGAGGAGTAACATTTCAAATGGTTTAGCTTGTGTGAGATTTTTCTAGGTTTTAGTCTCCTTTATCAATTGAGTCTTCACATTTTAGTCAACATTTTCTATAATAATTTATCGTCTGTAGGTGACATTTTAATGTCTGAGGGTAGTATGAATGAGTCGTGTTTGTGACTAAATCGTGTAAGTTTACTGCAATAAAATGTCAAATGTATTACATTTCATGGTTTTTTAATCTCAATAAAAAGCAAAAAGGTCCATTCTTCTGTTCTTATTCAGTACATGGCTTTCCACTGTATCGTACATGTTTGAAAATCAGATTGCGGTCAGTTGGCTATCAGCTAATCCAGCACCCCTGGAGCTGTGTAGGAGTAAAATGCCTTGCTCAAGGGCACACCGGAAGGAGACGGTACCTGGGATTTGACACCAGCAGCACTCTAGTTGACAGTCTGTCTACCTTATTGCCCATGCCAAGTTTCACACCAGCAACCCTCCAGTCTGCTTCTCTAACCTCTGGGCTACCTACCACCCCCTCCATATGGACTCATCTACAGTCTGAAGTAGCTCTACTCATGAGGATCAAACCAGTACAGACTACACAGGTGCCACAACACCAACAACTGACTAGCTACATTATTTTAATACAACAATCAGTCATCAAGTTCAGCCAGCTAGCTATCGCCTCCCCTACAGCACAGCTGCACTAAAATAAAGGCCCTCGGGAATCATATTCTGCAGACCACTGACTGCCTCTTAATAGGCTAGCTGTGTTAATTAGCTAGATTGCTGCAACTACCCAATGAGACCACAAACCCTGGGCAGTGCCACACTGACTGACGCAGTTTCAAACACCGCTGCTTTTCTGCAGTAGGAAATAACGTTAGCTAATGTTAACTCATCTAGCTAGCAACGGCCGTGGGCAGGTGAAGGTATCTTTTAAAACCCTAGTGAAATTGATAAGATATCCCTCAAACTGCACAATAACTATATATTTGGGGTCAACAGCACTACCTATAGACATCGCTATTTGCGAAGAAAGGAATGACTGGATTGACAGCTAGCTAAGGTTAACTTAGCATAACGGCTAGCTAGTTACTGTAACTGGTAAACATCAACACTAAGCTACTGTCAATGGCTAGCTGACACATTAAAGTAAGCTAGCTAGCTACTTTTCTTTACCTGTGGTTGGACCGTTGTTGACAAGGAAAACATTCCCAATACTCTCTAGACAGGCCAACAATGTGTTTCGAGGTTCCTTTCCGAAATGTCCTTGCCCTTGTTTCTCGTTCCTTCGCTGAAAACTCCTGTCCAGACAGTGTGCGGTCCACTCAGTTTGCTCGTGAAGTTCGCTAAATGAAAGCGGCTAATTATAAATGTCAACCGGATATTTCACTATTTTTGCAACCGGGGTAAATGCTTAAAGCCACAATCCTTAATTCGTTATTCAGTCAACGTCAACACCGACACTTCGTTTGATAACATAGTAAGGCTGGGCAGATATGCATAAATGGATGGAGCTGTAAGTATGAATGTAATGATTCCATGAGATCAACATAATATTTTGGAGCTATATAGCTAGCCTGAATCAATGGATCATTTATATTATTAATTATTATTTTAGGCCAATGCATGCTATACCTAAATAGGGCAAGATTGCATATCAATAACATACCAATCCAAATGATAAAGTAGCCTAAACACAAATTACTCTTATCACAACATTTGTGGAAAATATAAATATGACTAAATATTAATAATAATAATAATATTTGACCAGTACATATAAAATGTATTGTCCCCAAATGCTCTTGCAAAAGCATATTTCATTTGGCAACTATACACAGAGTAATGATGATCAATCTGACACAAGAAACAAGGAACATACAGTGCCTTCGGAAAGTATTCAGACCCCTTGACTTTTTCCACATTTTGTTACTTTACAGCCTTATTCTAAACTGGATTAAATAAACAAAAATCCTCAGCAATCTACACACAATACCCCATAATGACAAAGCAAAAACGGGTTTTTAGACATTTTTGCAAATTTATTAAAAATTAAAAACATACCTTATTTACATAAGTATTCAGACCCTTTGCTATGAGACTCGAAATTGAGCGCAGGTGTATCCTGTTTCCATTGATCATCCTTGATGTTTCTACAACTTAATTGGAGTCCACCTGTGGTAAATTCAATTGATTGAGATAAATGTTACGGAGTCTAGTTGATAGGTAATCGACTAGTTGGACTGTTCCCCAGACTCCACGCGTAGGGATTTGTACAAGGCTGAACAAGGCTATTGAACTGAACATTGGTGTCTGTCTTTATTCCTTAATCCAACATATCATACAGAAACATGGTATCAGAAGTGGCTCGGAAAACACACGTTTGTTATTTTTGTAGCTAAGTACAGTATAGGCGCAGTTACGTTCCATATGCGAACACAAGCCGTTTCCTACTCACAACACTGATCAACTCGTGTTAGCTGGCTAGCTAGCATCACTACCTACCTCCATGACTGAAGACAAAGAAATCTCCTATTCCATTGCTATGGCAGCGAACATTCCGCCACCAAATCACATGGTTCTCACAGGGGACTGGAATACTAATTGGGACAACTTCAGGGATGAATTCGAGGACTATGCGCTGGCGACCGGTCTACGTGAGAAAACCAACGAGGTACAAGCGGCAACTCTGAGGAGTTTAATGGGCAGCGAATGCAGGCATATCTACCGGCACAATCTCACCCTCACGGCACGACAACAGTGTGATGCAAAGGCTATATTGGATGCATTGGAGAATTACTTCAAACCCGCCAGAAACGTAATTTACGAGCGGTTCGTTTTCGGAAGCTGCAAACAGGAAGAGGGTGAGTCAGTACACAACTTTGTAACCCGTTTGAGAGAGAAATCCGCCACTTGTGAATACGGGGGATTGAAAGATGAACTGATTCGTGACAAAATAGTACTGGGAATTGCAAATGAGAATACGCGCCGGCGTCTACTGAGAGAGAGAGAGGTTTAACATTAGTAACTGCCATCGAAATGTGCCGCACTGCTGAAGTCACTGACATGAGAATGAGAGCAATGGAAACGGAAACCCCACGCTCCGACGTTGATACTGTTCACGCTGTTGCTAGGCAGACATTCAGACAAAACCAATCGAGGCAGAGTAATTCACCACGAACGGTGAACACAGAGAGCCCCGTAGCATGTAAATACTGTGGGAATACACACACACGTGGCAAAGAGCACTGCCCGGCCTATGGAAAACCATGCAGAGCTTGTGGAACTAATAATCACTTTGCAAAAGTGTGTCTCAAAAGCAAAAGAAGGGTGAGTGAGGGCAAGATTCACTGTGTTGATGATGTTACTCAATGTTCAGAGCTGAACAGTGAAAGTGACATTTACATGCATGAATCCATTGGGGCTGTACACTCAAGAGGGAAGAAATGGTTTGTGACACTACGATTACACAACAAGCAACAACAATGTCAACTGGATTCGGGTGCTACATGCAACGTAATGAGCTACAAAGACAAAATCAATCTGGCACCTGACACACATCTATTTCCCAGCGATACTAGACTAAAGCTGTACTCAGGAGAACTAATGAGCTCTATGGGCACCTTTGAGACCGAATGTGTTATTCGGGGACGCAAACACAAGCTGGAGTTCGAGATTGTGAAAACCAGTCAAAATCCTCTCCTCTCAGGCTCTACATGCGAACGCCTGGGACTGATGCAGTTCACTGTACCAAATGACCTGCACATTGTGGATCATGTCCAGCATGGACCCCTGTCCAAAGAACAACTACTCAGCAGATATGACGATGTATTCAACATGCCCGTTGAATCAGTGCCTGGGGAGGTACACTTTGAAGTGGATGAGAGCATTACTCCAGTCCAGTGTGCTCCTCGCAATGTGCCCATTGCAATGAAAGTGGCTG